TTTTCCAAGTGTGACCCCCTTTTTTTCCAGTGGACCCATTTTTCTAAGTGTGAGCCATTTTTCCAAGTGTTACTCATTTTTCGAGGTGGACCCCATTTTTTCCGAGTGTGACATATTTTTTCAAATTTGAGCCATTTTTCCAAGTGTGAACCATTTTTCCAAGTGCGTCCCCCTTTTTTAAGTGTGACCCAATTTTTCAAGAGTGACCGGTGTAACCCATTGTTCCAAACGTGAACCATTTTTCCAAGTGTTACCCATTTTTCGAGGTGTGGTCCTTTTTTCCAAGCGTGACACATTTTTTCAAATTTGAGCCATTTTTCCAAGAGTTAATATAATAGAATACAATACAATGCAATAATAAAACAATATATAATATAATAATTTAGTAATGTAAGATTTTTGCTGACAACTGTCACTTCAGACGTTGGACGTTCTTTTCTTTAAGGGTACACGTTAAAGTCTTTGACTCTGGAATCGTCATCGGAAGTTAACTGTAAAATAGAGAAAATCAAAATACATTTAGAGACAAACTGATCCTGGCGGACGTTATTTTTAAAATAATAAATAAAACAATCAAACATTTCTATAGCCGTAAATGCACTTGGTCCCAAGCTACCATGAGATAGCTGGTTTCAAGCTGGTAGGTATGCCACTCAAACAGACGAAGCAAACATTACAAAAGTAGTTAACAGGACATGTTGACCACATTCACTAAAGCCGCCATGTTTGCTTTCACATTGATGCAAATTGGGTACGTGATTTATGAAGGAGCAAACTTAAGAAATATTACAGGATAACTCAATTCCCAAGAGGAATAAAGAAAGGAAATTGAACTGGAAATCCAGAAATTATGCGAGATAAAAACCTCAAAGTTGTTCAATGGTGTGATGAATACGTGTAAACAGCGTCAACAATTTAATAGGGGCGCATTTTTGACAAAGTTCTTAATACCATAAACTGCCACTTATAAGACCCCCGCTTATAAGCCCACCTCCCCCCCCCCC